ACACTGTTTTGTCTTTTGGTTGAAATGAAAATCGCAACGAGATAATGAGAATCGCAACGCGGAAATGACTATCGCAACGAGAGAATCGCAACGCGAAATGACTATCGCAACAAGAGAATCGTAACGCGAAATGAAAATCGCAACGCGAAATGAAAATCGCAATGCGATTTTGGTTTCGCGTTGCGATTTTTATTTCGCGTTGCGATTCTCTTGTTGCGATAGTTATTTCCGCGTTGCGATTTTCATTCTCGAAACTATTCTTCTTCTGCATTACTTCAACCAAAAGACAAAACAAAGACAAATACTAACTTAACAGGCTAAACAGTTTAGCAGTATTGGTAGCAATCGAATGAATTTAATAAGAAATCTAAGTGAAATGGTTAATCTATTATTGAAATTACCAGTAAACTTATCATCAATCTCAATATGAAAAACCTAAAATAATGCAAAAATTTCAACAACAAAAAAAAAAACTAACCCTCGGAGGTTGATTTTCAATTTCTGAATGATTGTGAGGGATTTTTGACTGTGAATGGTTGTGAGAGATTTCGCCGGCGATGGGGACGGAAATCTTCGGAGATGGGGACGGATTTCGCCGTAGAGAGTGAGAGATGGAGATGGGACTGAGTGTTGTGATTTTGGGTTTGAGGTTATGAGTTGCGATTACTGTGGACGGTTCAGTTTCTGATTTATTAAGAAAAAATTCGTGTTTGGAATTTGAAAAAAAAATACGCGTTAATACGAATGGCGCTATGTAAATCGCGTTGCGAAAGTCAGAATCGCGTTGCGAAAGTCAGTATCTCGTTGCGATTTTGTATTATCGCATTGCGATAGTAAGTATCGCATTGCGATAGTCAGTATCGCATTGCGATTTTCCCAATTCGCGTTGCGATTTACTTATTCGCATTGCGAATTGAGAAAATCGCAACGACACTGTAGACCATCGCAACGCGATTTTCAACTATCGCAACGCGAAATGCAACGCGAATTTACGATAATGGAGATCGCGTTGCGAATTAGCGATCGCATTGCGATTTTGTTGGTCATTTTGGCAAATCCAAAAAAAATTGATTAAAATCGTATATTATATGGGATTTTTGGTCACTGAGATTATTTTCTCTTCAATATCAACTATTTCAAGTCGATCAAAACGTCGTGAGAAATACCTAGTATAAGAGAAATAATTAAAAATTGTTTCATTAGTTGGATTTGTATGTACACATTGGTCGGTATTGAGTAATGACCTAGGGGCTACTGGCTAGTGCCATGCCTGACAGTGGTGTATCTAGGCCTACGCCTACCTAGGCATGGCCCACTCTATGCTTATTTACTTATTTAGTCATCTACTTATTATTCATTTTTTTTAGTCATCCAACTATTATTTGTTTTAAATCATATTTAATGTTATATTTTAGTTTTATTTTGATCACTAATCATTAAAAAGTTAATGGTGACATTGACATGTAATTATAAGATAATGTCATATCAGGATTGGAAAATAATTTTTACAAAATACAATGTTAACATCAATGTTAATTTTTTAAAGACATGTGATCAAAATAAAACTAAAACGTAATATTATGTATGATTTAAAAAAATTGAGTGACTAAAACATAATTTAAGTAATAGATGTGTGACCTAATAAGTAATTTAACCTATACAAAAATATGTGCGAATTATGTTGACCCAATTAAATATATTTTTTTATATTTAATCTATATATAATTATATGTATAATTGTTATTATATTTTTAAAACGAAAATGTATGTAAATTATATTAGATAATTTTTTTACTATATTTATATTAACTCAACTCATAAAATTTTTCTAGAATCATCGCTCATGCATCATGTTTAGTTACCTTAGCACTCCTAAAATACTGTAATTATCGTGGCGCCTACGAAGATTTAAAAGATGGTAAGAATTTTGCATTATGTTATCACCTTTTGGATCACTATATTTTAATGCATTATACATATTATGTTTCTCATTCTTTTATAAAGAACCACAAGATTTCAATATCATCTTTGAGTAGGTTCATCACATTTTCAAACAGTCTAAATCGAATAAACTTATTTTTTTAAACTAAAATTGGGTAAATTACGAATTTCATCATCAAACTTTACTCTCTCTTATTTTGCTCATTGAACTTTAAAAGTTTTCAATTTCCTCACCGAACTTAATACATTGGTTTTTTAGTCATTGAGATTTATTCTCTCTCCTATTTTGGTCACTCCACCGTTAAATATTTAGCAGCGTTAAAAAAGATATCGTTTTAAAAAAATAATTTTTTTAGTAAAACGACGTCGTTTTGTATCAATATAACAACTCATTTTAAAGTCGCTAACTATTTAACGACTAAGTGACAAAAAACCCAATTTATTAAGCTCAATGAGGAAATTGAAAATATTTAAAGTATAGTGAATGAAATATGAGAGAGAGTAAAGTTCAGTTGCCAAATTTATAATTTACCCATTAAAATTTCAACCACAAACTCATGTTTAATTAAATAAAATGCTCTAAATTAATGAGTAAAGTACACAAATGGTCTTCCAACTATAGCATATTGCTTTATTGAGTCCCTTGACTACTAAATGTTACAAAATGGTCCCTCGACTATAGGGAATTGCTTTGTTGAGTCTCTCGACTATTAAAAGTTACAAAATGATCACTCAACTATTCATTATGTTCCAAACTCGTCTTTTTCCGTAAAAAAATTAACTGTAGTTTGAGCTGGATGTTAACATGTTGACTGAGATATGATAGTCGTTTAAGAGTATGAGATCAGTTTTATCGTATCTCAATCAGTAGTTTAACTTAGAACTCAAAATACTGTCAAATTTTAACAAAAAATGATGAGTTTGGAACATAATAAATAGTCGAAGGACCATTTTGTAACTTTTAATAGTCAAGTGACTCAACAAAGTAACTCTTTGTAGTCGGGAGACCATCCTATAACATTCAATAGTCAATGGACTCAATAAAGTATTATCCTATAGTCAGAGACAATTTATGTACTTTACCCTAAATTAATTTATCATTCACAACGAATTTAACTTCTAACATACCCTTAAACGTATCCGTCAAATATTGTAATCAATTAACCTTTTTTTTTTTTTTTAAAAAAAAGACCCCCAAATTATCTGACACGTGAATTTATAATGAACAATAGAAGATACTAATGTTTTGATGGAAAAAGACACTAGGGGAATCTGAATTAGGCAACACTTTTGTCACTAGTCTCGGCTCCATAATTATTCAACCAAAACACGAACTATTATGGATTGTTTTATGTAGTAGGTCAATTTAATGTGGAAAACTGGTAGATTTTGCCCAACTCTACTCATTGGTTTGATGAAAAACCAAAAGAATTTCTCGTGTGGGAATACAAGGAGCAGCCCTAGGAACAGTATTCCATATGACTTCTACTCACCCAAATTTATCAATAGATGGGGACTTAGTACTCGTCTTGTTACCACAAACAATTGAATTATGATGTTTATCAACCTTAAAGTACAAAATAAATACCATACAGATCTGTGTTTTGCTTTTCAAAGAGATATGGATGATTTAGGGTTACTTTCACACCCTTTCAACATCTTCTTTTTCCCAATAATAAGGATTTCCAAAGATTTAGATAGGGATGGTTATAGGTCAAATTGGATCGAATTTTCGGGCCACTTAAATTCGACTAGAGTATAACATCCTTCATCAGTCATCCAATTCGATCCGAATTTTGGAAAACTCGTGTTCACCTAAAATCTTACCCTAGTTTTAATGTAAAAAACTTGAATCTGATTTTACTTGACACAAATATATTTATATATATATATATATATTCATTTTTATTAGATAAAATAAGTACTTAATTGAAAAAAATATAGATAAAATGAATTATAATATCTAAATGTATACATGTCAATTATACTATTATTCTTAGATCGAGACAGTCAAATATTTTTTTATCTTAAAATCGAAATCAACCCGACCCTCTATCATCCTTTAAAAATCCCGACACAATCCGAACCTAAACTTTTTTTAAACAAACTGACATTATAAAATCAAATTAAATCAAAATCTATTAGATTTGAATCAAATATCCATTCCTAGATTTAGTTTCTATTTTTGTAGCATGACATTTCTTTTTTAGGTTTGTAGTTATTATAAACCTCATATTGTTTTATATGACTATTAAATGTAAATCTAATATTGCATTTCTTATTTTTATTTAAAGTGTCATGTCAACATCTATTATGACTAGGATTGTAAATGAGAAATGAATTACGAGCTATTTGAGATCGATTCGGATAAAGTTCAATCAACAATCAAATCAGATGGACTCGACTCAAGCTAAGATTTGACTCAAATTCTTAAGGAGCCGAAACGAGCTACTTGATACTCAAATCAAAAAGCTCGCAAGTTACTCGGAAAAAAATCTAATATTGCATTTCTTATTTTTATTTAGAGTGTCAGGTCAACATCTATTATGCTATAAATGAGATAAATCGATTACAAGCTATTTGAGATTAATTCAAAAAAAGTTCAATCAACATTCATATCAAATGGACTCAACTCGAACTATAAATCGACTCAAATTCTTAACGAGCAGAAACAAACTACTTGATACTCAAATCAAAAAGCTTGCAAGTTCCTCGAAAAATAATAATATTAAAGTTCATGTACTTAAGGTCCATGTTAAAATTTATTAATTTTTTAAAATAAATTATTGATAATATTAACATTTATATGTTTGGGTGTGCTCCTATGTGCTAAGGGACTGCTTCTTTTGGCAGGTTGATGTGCCCGGAGCTGCAGTTGGACTTGGAGGAATCTTTTGCATGTGAGGGAGTGAGTTGCGTCTATTAGGGGGCTGCTTGGGTTTTTTTGCTCTTCGGTTGCCCATGTTTTGGAGGAAATAAAGCCATGGGTGGTTAAGGTTCATTGGGATATGCTAGTTTGACATTCGGGATACATCCCCAAGAATTCAATAATTGCTTGGATGACTGTGTTTGATAGACTTCCCACAAAATGCAGGCTTCTGAGTTTTGGGATGCATTTGGATGGCCTTTGTATTCTGTATCGGAAAGATTTGGAGACACAAGATCACTTATTCTTTCAGTGTGAATTTTCTACTCAAGCTTGGGGGAGCGTTTTGCAGCTTTGTCAGACTTATAGAGGGGTGACGAGCTGGAGCTTGGAACTTGCTTGGGTATGTGGTGGTTTGAGGAGGAGATCCCTTATGTCGATGATCTTAATGTTGGCTCGAAATAGCTTGATCTCATTGATATGGAGAGAGAAGAATGTCAAATTGTTTAGGAACCAGGAGAGCTCTAGAACAGAGATTGTTGCTCGCATCAAAGAGGCTATCAAATTTAGATTGAGAGGTTGAAGTCTTCAGGATTAGTGCCCTTGCTTGGGGGTTTGTTTTGGTCTTGATGTCTGTAATTAATCGTTTTGCAATATAAAGTTCATATTCATCGAAAAAAACATAAGTTGATGGTTCTTGGTTCAACCAATTTGATTTACCTATTAGTCTAATTATTTTTTAAAGTTTTATGAAATTTAATACGACGAAGGATCATTGATGCTGTATTTGAAGACAGAACAAGAGAACGACATCGACAAATGAAGGATCAAGTAATATTAATATTTAATAATAATTTATACTTTAAAAAATAATTTTTATAATTCACATTAACTTTTCTATAATTTCACTATAAAATGTGTCCTTTTAAATAAATTTTATAAAATATATATATTTTAATTTTTTATACGATTTATATTTATTTTAATGATTTTTATAGTTGATATTGTGATGCCTCTCAAATATGTCACAGATTACTGTTTTAGAAATCAAATTTGATCGATAATGAAAACGGTTAACCGGAGAATTTAATTAAAGTATCATTATATTAAGTGACATAATATATATAATGTTATTACTTGAGCATATGTGAAGATCTTGTATCATCAATAACAAATTGGTTTAGTGAGATGAGACACTAAATTCTTTAAGTAATGTCAGATGTTTGAGTCGAAGTGATTACAAATGAAGTAAACTAGGTTGAGAGACTTGCACTTACCTTCGTAGTACTCGATTCAAATTAATTGATCAATAGATCAGAAACCGATAGTTATACCGGAAAAAAAATCTTACATCAATAATATGGGCTTCTTTTTTTCTTTTTTTTAATTAACTGCTTTCCTCCGACATGATTTATTTTAAGAAAAAATTAAAATATTAAAAGTTAAAATGTTTTAAAAAAATAAAGTGAGCATATCTATATGGATGTTGACATAATTTGATGGTTATGCCAACTAATACGACAGTAGATGAATTTGGGCACGAGTAATTACAAGCCCCACGTGATGGAAATGTATTCCCCCCCTCCCCCGCGGGCCGCGTAGCAACGTAACAGTTACAATGGTACGCAATCATTTAAGCTCTTTACGGCTTCTAAAATCCAAATGAAATGCGCCTCACTATCTTTGACTGATCACTATCCAGTCAGACATCTCCGGCGCTCAATGTATATATATTAGATCCGCAAATTCCCATATTTTCTCAAACAATGGCGAAACAAGGCGCAAGCCAGAGCCCAGCGAGCGAGAGAAGAAGCCACTCACAATACAAAGGTGCTCGAAAGCGAAAATGGGGGAAATGGGTGTCGGAGATCAGACTACCCAACAGTCGTGAAAGGATTTGGTTGGGATCTTACGACACTCCCGAGAAAGCAGCACGTGCTTTCGACGCCGCTCTTTTCTGCTTACGCGGCCGTTCTGCTAAGCTCAACTTCCCTGATAACCCACCGGAAATAGCCGATGGCAGGTCTTTGACCCCCTCCGAAATCCAAGCCGTCGCCGCACGATTCGCCAACTCGGACCCTCCGAGGACCCAAAAGGAACCCCCTTCGCCGTCCGTACGGTTGGAGAGTGAGTTCGCTGTGGAGGGATCGTTTCTGGATGTTTTGACAAAGGGTTCGGGTTACGGGATATTCCCAGAATGGGATGAGTTTTCAGGTGAGTTTCTGGGATCAACGATTCCCGACATGGACTGCGAAGAGGATACTGTTGATGGGGTTTTGGACCCTGAATCTTTTCTATGGAATTTCTAAATCTCCGACCTCATTCTAGCCACTTTAGAGGGGGCCGACCAGTTTTTGTACGTCTCAATCCCATGTTTGCACTCAAGCTGCAATTTAATCCAACAAGAAATGTAAAGCAAAGCATTATAAATGTAGTAGTTTTTCTTCATCTCTCCATCTATCTTCCACTCATTTCAAAAACAAAAAAGGTTAATTCAATGCTCAGAGAGGTTTAAATAAACCGAATCTGAACTAAACATCTCATGCATGATTACATACGTCTAAATTAACACAAGGAAAAATTGTGCAACTTATCAGCTAGTTAATAAGAATTAATTATGTTTTGACTCATCCAAAAGGTATCAATTAATCATTTTTATTCATATTTTTTTACTTTATTTATTGAATATTAGCTCCCCACTCTGACTTGATGTGATTAATTAACGTCCAGATGGAGATAAAAATAAATTATTAATAAAATAAAAATCTTTAAATTACCTAAAATTCAAAATTTTGAGAAATGTTCATCTAGTTAGTCTCTCCATCCATCCCTTACAGCACATCCTCATTCAAGATAGTCGATGGTGCATGGGAATTGTAGTTACTTACGAGACATTTTTCTACAAAGTTTTATTATGTTTGTAGGATACTATAAATCAAAGTAGAAAAAAGGAAATGGTTAAAAAAGAGTGTTGAATTGGTCGGTTCGATTAATCGATCTAATTTAACTGACCAAAAATCATTAATCAAAATTTTTTATCTTTAACTATTAATTAACTGAAAATTTTCAAAAAAAAATTAATTGGACAGAAAAAATTTGATTAATTTGTTCGGTTAATCGAATTAACCAAAATTTTAAATAATATATATATTTACTAAATATTTAATATTTTTAGTTAATTCGATTAATTCGATCGGTTAATTCAGTTAATTCGATTAAAACCGAAATTTAAACACTCCTAAAATTAAGTAATATATAAATAATATAATTAATATATTAAAAATTTAAAAAAAATCAGTTAATTAACCGATTTCGAAACCGAATTAGTCGATAACCAAACTCCGAAAAATCATTAATCGCTAACCGACCGAACATAAAATTAACTGACCGATTAATTGTCGTCGTCGTTTTTCGTCCGAGTGGGGAAAAAACTAGTTCGACTTAGGGGTTTTCTTTGAAAAGATTTTGAAATGTAAGGAGTCACCACCAACCATTTAAGGTGTGATTGGAACACCATAAAAACTGAGGATTTTAATAAAACATTTTATTTTTATCAAAATATCGAGGTATGTAAAAATCCAAAAATCAAGTTCGAGAGTCAGTTACGCGTGGGGAAGGGTTAGCACCCCCACAACGCCCAAAAATTGATACTTAGTTGATTACCCTACATTTAAGAAATTAGAAAATTTTAGTTCAAACATTATTTAATCAAAAATTCACTATAGATGCGCAGTTGAAAATGATGTTCGTTTATTTAAGCCAATAGTGTTTGCCCTCTAACATGAATGTGGGAGATCAACTATTGTGTCCAGTAATCGAACATTGTCTTGATTTTAAGAAATCATAATGCGGTCTTGAAAAGGATGTCGGCTTATTTCGAGAATCACCAGTAGTCTCCCCTGAGCATACTTGCAGGAGATATAATATTAACTCCCTGATAAGTGAACATTGCCTTGTGTTTGAAAAACGAATGCAGCCAATCAACTAGTTAAAATATCCTAATTATACTAGGTGAGTTAATTAAGGGAACTCCTACCCTAAAGTGTCAAATTGTGAAATTACGGAATCTAGAGGACTAATCCTAAAATGAGTCTCTAATATTAACCCTAGCTGATTTTATCAGTTATTGAATCGGATATTTGATTTGAGCAATCGAGCATTTTCTTGCAAAAACTCAAATCAAATTGCTTACTAATTAGAACTAAGGTGAAACCTTAATTACTAAATCAGATTGTACATTAAAAGATCCTAATCTAAGGGTAAATTCTAAAAAAAAGCTAATTAAATCAAATAACTAGAAATATAAAGTAGTCTTGCATTTTAAACGCCAAACAAACAATTAGATCAATTAAATGCAAGGAAGAAATAAACAAACATCTATTTTAATCAAAATCTAACAAATTAAATATAAGACACTAGATTGAATTGACATTAAATTAAAGGGATTAAAAAAATAAATTAAACATGTAATTAAAAAGGGACCGGATTAAAATAAAATAAGAATTGAGCATGAAACACAACAAATAAACATATGACCTAAATACAGAAACACGTCTAAACGAGAGGGGCATGAATGAAAATATACCAACAATGCACAACATTAATGAAAAAAAGGAAATAACAAAATTGGTGCAATTAAAAGGGGTAAATAATAGATTTGGTCTTCTTAGGTGACCAAAATATAAATTCGCTAAAATATGGGGACCTAATACAAATTAACCCTAAAGTATCAGTGGCTAAAGAGTAATTAACCCAAAACCCTTTGTATTTAAACCTAATATTATTCTAAGCCTAAAACTACGACCAATGACTGCCCTACAAGTAGGATTGGGTTTGAGGAAGTCAAAATGGCTCTTAGAAAGATGGGAAGGGAGAAAGCTGTCGGTCCTGATCAAATTCCTATCACTGTGTGGTTAGCCCTAGGAGAAGAGGGAGTTAAATGGTTGACCAACATCTTTAATATTATTTTAGAGACTGCCAAGATGCCAGAGGAGTGGAGAGAGTCTACGGTGATACCAATCTATAAAAATAAAGGAGATCCCCAATGTTGTGGTAACTACAGAGGTATTAAACTACTCAGCCATACCATGAAGCTATGGGAAAGGGTGATAGAGGCTAGGTTGAGACAAGTTACTAGGGTTTCGGAAAACCAATTTGGCTTTATGCCAAGCAGGTCTACCACGGAGGCGATTCATCTACTTCGACGGCTTATGGAGAAATATAGGGAAAAGTCTAGAGATCTTCACATGGCGTTCATTGACCTTGAGAAGGCTTATGATAGCGTTCCTCGCGATACGATCTGGAAGACTTTGGAAACGAGACGGATACCTACTGCTTATATCCGGGCGATTCGTGACATGTACTGTAGATCTACTACTTACGTCAGGACTACAGTTGGCGACACCGAGGCATTCCGGTGGAAATCGGACTCCACCAGGGGTCGGCTCTTAGCCCTTACATCTTCGCCTTGATTATGGACGACATCTATTGTGCGACACCAGACGGTGTACCTTGGTGTATGCTTTTCGCTGACGACATTGTTCTAGTTGCTGAAACAAAATCTGAGTTGAATAGTAGACTGGCTACCTGGAAGACTGCTTTGGAAGAAAAAGGTTTAAGGATCAATATTGAAAAGACAGAGTATTTATGTTCAAACTTCAATGGGAACCAAAACGATGAAGATGTAGAAGTATGCATAGAAGGACACGTTCTTCCCTCAAAGGATTGTTTCAAGTACTTAGGGTCTATGATACATAAAGATGGGGGTAGATGATGACGTTACACACCGTATAAAGGCGGGATGGCTAAAGTGGAGGGCCGCTACTGGAGTTTTGTGTGACAAGAAGGTGCCTCTAAAACTTAAGGGAAAATTTTATAGAATGGCAATAAGACCAGCGCTGTTGTATGGATCAGAATGTTGGGCAACCAAGAAGGATCACGTAAGGAGGATAGAGGCCGCAGAAATGAGAATGCTTCGATGGACATGTGGTAGGACTCTGTGGGATATGACGACAAACTCTGCTATTAGGATGTCCTTAGGGGTGGTGTCTGTTTCCGAAAAATTGAGGGAGGGAAGACTACGGTGGTTTGGGCATGTCCTTAGGCGACTACCGTCGGATGCGGTCAGGAGGGTAGAGTCGATTACAGTCGACGGTGCCAGAAGGAAAGGACGACCAAGGCGGAAGTGGGAAGACTGCTTGAGATCTGATTTGATGGATTTAGGCCTTACCGAAGACATGACCTATGATAGGAAATTATGGAGGCTTAAGACTAGGGTAGTCGAGTAGTGTGGGTCACATCTATAGGGTGTATCATCTTTGTCTTCTTTTAAATGCATTTGTAGTAATTTCCATGACTTTTACTTTTTATACTTTTCTGTTATTGGTATTTATGAAAGATTAGAACTGGGCTTGCTATAATTGTCTTCTGTGTATCATTCTCGTCATGTTTCCTCTGTTAAATTTAGCCGGTCTTATGTTTCTGTCTATATGCAGAGATTCTTTCGCAGGGATTATTTTGCAGGGATTACTCCCCATTACAGAAGCACATATGATATTAATGACTGCATATGAATATTGTTTAGCTATGTATTTATGTAATTATTTATACATGCATTGCATTTTATCTATATTTTTAATTTTCTGAGTGCCGGAGGTCTTTCACGGAAGCTATTCTCAACCTGGCGTTGGGGGCAGCCTACTACCCTACCTCCCCCTTACCCCATACATATGGGAATTGGGTTTTGTTGTTGTTGTTGTTGTTGTTGGTCTCAACCTTCTCTCGTAGTCGTACAACCATTAATGTCGCCGCTGGCCACCAAATTTGGTGGCCCCTTCACTTCGATCACCTCAAAAACGACATAAACCAGGCCCTTACCACCAAAAGCTCCTCCTTTTTTTTAAAACGAGACCCACTGAAAATGAGAACCCACGGTTCCTCCTCCTCTTCTTTACCTCCACGGCCGCCTCTTTCCACCGTGAACCCATACCAACCCTACTTCTCTCACGGTCGTCTCAAATGTCGCATGCAAGCCTCGAAACAAACCCAACAAGAGACCAACGCCTCACTTACCGCTCCTCAACTCTGGTGAAGGCAACTTTGGCAACGCTCAAAGGCTCCAGTGACTTCTATTCCTTCGGGGCCCACGAACAGGTAAACTCGAGACCCTTATCTAAGTAATTTTTAGTTTACAACACATGCACAAAGGAATGCAAACCGAGACAAGAAAAATACCTCCGAAAGAAAAAAATGGATCTTGCTTGCTATCGATTGATTGGTTGGTTAGTGTTTTTGGTTAATTTTGAAATAA